GTATAGCCGCTGCTATATTAAAAGCAGAGATAAGGTATCACATGATGGAATAATCGACTATTTAATTTACACTCAGCCCATTAAGGTTAACACACCATGCATGGTTAATGATCCGTAAACATCGATCAACCAGCTGCCGCATGTCTTATCCTATTTTATGTCCGTGCTTGTCAGTCTGTGTATTTATTTACCAAGTGTTTGGCCACATCTGTGTTTTCCTACTCTGTATATCTCTTTAAATCCCTGATGAGACCATTTCAAGCTCTGTGGCATTTGTCTTCACTCCATCTCAAGTTCTCTTTCTTTTTTTATTGTCCAGTTTCCCATTTCTATGACATCAATGTGGTAAAAAAAACAAACAGAAAGCTATGCGTCCAATGGGCTGGTTAGTTAGTAGGTCGGGTGACCAGGAGGAGGAACAACGACATACCTGGGCAATGTTCAGAGTCTAGAGAGCGCATGGCGGAGAGACAGACAAAACACAACACACAACCAGAGGACAAAAGAGAGAGAAACAAAGAAAGAAGGAGAAAGAAACAGAGAGGGGGGAAAAGGAGAGACAGAGAAAGTGGTGACTAAGGAGCTAGGCCGTTCACTGTCCGTTCAGCACAGTTAGCATCAACTCAGCCAGATCAAACAGACAAACTGCATTCTGGAAATCAGAGCTCTGGCCAGTGTTGATTATCAACAGAGCGTGCAAGCTGGTCCAACTGTGTTTATGGTGCTCAGTGAGCTTGGCTGAGCTGAAACTGCATGAACCCAACAGGGAAAACTAACACCAGTGCATTATGGGTCAAGCGCACAGCATTGACTTGCTCTACATATTATATAGCTGTGTTACCAGGGCAACAAGGGAGGTGTCAAACGGAAAAATGGTGGGGAGGTGAAACGAGAAATATAAGAAAAGAACCAGATAAAAACAAACAAAGGAAAAAGCTGAATATGAAGAGGAACGGGAAAAAAAATCAGGAGCAGGTAGAGGGAAGGAGAGATGGGTGGGAAAAAATTCTAATAGATCTAAAAGGGACAGGAAAAGTGAGGGCAGGTGGAGGGGCCTGGTATAACAGAAACGTTATAAAAAAGGTTGTCATACCTGCTTGTTGAGTCCTAACATGTTGCACACCATTTCTCGTGAGTATGGCTGTTCTAACACATAGCGCAGCAAGCCCGTCTGTGGCTCAAACAGGTCCTACACACACAGAAACACACACCATGTATTACGGATGTGTTCATTCGTGTTAATGCTTGTTTTTCTGTACATGAGAATATATTACCTTGTCAAACGGGAGCATGCCCCTCAGGGGGAAGCGGAGAGTAGTGGGGTCTAATTTCCAGGAGTTACAGATGGCCCCGCTGTTATTCACCACCGGTAACAAGCTGCACCGACCTGAGGGGAGATTCACACAGAATGACTAAACGGGCACACTGATTGTTCAATATACGAGTTGCATTATGTTCTTTTCTCATAGCTTTAAGGCATATATTTGTGGCATACACGAGTGATGAGTTAGCTACAGATACGATTTATATTTGTGTTTTTATTGTTGTACAGCTTTTTCAGCTTTGCACCCTTTTAGTTCAGATTTCCATTATTCAATTTTTGTTTGAAAATGGAATGGACTTCATTAAAGCTCTGGCAAAGCATGAAAAAGAGTATTGCCAAAACCAAGAACCCTTGAGCAAACCAAAATATATAAAACAATCATACTCTACATCAAGTATTCTGAAAGCGTCCAGCGTCAGTGTGTTTTTGTCTCTCTTACCACAAATAGAGTTGATTCTGGCTGTGGGTCTGAAACTGTCCACAAAGTCTGATATCAAACTGCCTAGGAGCTACAAACAGAGACAGAATGATAATAAAACAAAAGTATTTGTTGGAAACACATGACGTTGCTGCAAACATGCACACCAGAAACGGACTCTTACCCAGTGAGACAGCTGTCCCTCTGGATACAGTTTTCGGATTTCTGTGACGGCAAAGTAGGCTGGCAGGAGGCAAGCGTTTCTGTCTAGGATGTACTCTACCACCTGGAGTAAACAAAGAGAAAGCAATTTAGGTGAAGGATGTGATATGCTTACAGATAATTATTTAAACGAGTAAAATAAAAATATATCATAAATCATTGTATCCAATAAATGAAAGAAGGATACCTCTCTGGCGGCCAGAAGCTGTTGGACTATAGCTGAGCTGACAGTGGTAGGAATGGTTTGAATTTTATCCAGTACCGCTTTCAACAGGTCTCGAACTCCCTGAAAAAACCACAGGTTATACATATGGCCGATGACGGAAGGTTTTTCAAATTGAGTCTGTTAAGAAGAGATGAGAAGCGGAGAGATGCTCGATAACTTAATCTAGAGTTTACATTAGTGAACTTTGAGATCAACTTGTAGCATCTTAAAACACAGGTCTCAATAAGTCTGCATTCAATAGATCACAACATAATTTTTTCATGTGTGTGTGTGTGTGTGAGACCTTGTAGTCCACCCCTCCAATGATCTTGCGGATCAGTTTGAAAGTTAACGCCCACAGCTGAGTCCTCTCCCACTCCAAACTGTCCGAGCTGATCAGAGCTCCACACACCATCCTTCAGAGACACAAAGAGATTCCTTAGAAGCACGGTTAACACAAAAATAACAAGGATATAAGATAAGGGGGCACATGATGTGTTTGTGTTATATCCAGTCTTTAAACAGATCAACTGCAGGATACATGTTGTTAATGACATGTTAAGCATGATGACATTGCTTAAAATACAATTCTTGAATTATAGTGGCATTATAAACCATGAAGATCAGTCCTTGCTTACAGTGATATAAAGCCTAAACAGTAATCAATTAAGCAAAAGAATCAAACAAAGTAACCCAAAAACATGATACTCTGTCAACCCCCAGCATGCTTCAGCCCTTTATAAGTGTGTATATTTACTTTGGCGGTAACAGACTCGTCTCCACAGCCATTGCTAGACAGTCGTGGAGGAAGGAGATCCTTTTGGGACTGTGCTGGCTGTGTATAAAGCGCACAATCCACTGCACACACTGATCATGAGACTCCTGCAGAAAGACATGGAGGGAATTGAGAAAATCCAGCTAATTATTCATTCATTATTCTGTGTGTAAGTGTGTGTCTCTGTGTGTTCAGACACCTGTGGTAGGGTCCCCCAGTATTGCCTGAAGGCTCCCAGACAACTGGTCAGTTTAGTCCTCTCGTCCTCTGGAGTGTCCATAAACATCCTACAACACAACATCATTGATTTTCACACTGTTTATTTTAAGATGTTCTTTTTTGTTGTTGTTTCTTCTAGACATAATGTGTGCTATTGTGTTTGGAGGTATCTTACCCAGCAAAGGCCTCTTCTATCATCTCAGTTTTCTGTGAAAGAAGAAATTGAGAAAATATTATGTAGAAGGACATTTTATATAAACCATTTTTATCTCTCTTATGCTATTCACATCTCTCTTAATAATAGTAGTCGCAATAATAACCGTCTGCTCTGGTGCCTTAGTTAACAGGAAAGTCATGTGTCAGATTTTCTACAGTACAACTGAGATGTTGGTAGAGATTAAAGTATATGTTACTGAATTAAAGCTACAGGTAAATCCCACTTCCTTCATCTTACATTAGTGCAATGACCCTCTAAATGCTTCGTATCATCGTCCACTGGAAATAAACCCCCCAGAAACAACGTATAGTCTTAAAGCAATGTTGCTAATTATATCACAACACATTTTGCATGTGTTTTGACATTAAAATCTACTTTTCAATGCGGTCACCAGTCACTGGCAGGTCAATTGTAAAGGTAAACATGAAAGTACACTTGTATTCAAAACGTCTTTGACATCTAATTATGTTAACTTTATGTATCAATCTTAGCTGTTAGTTCATATATTTACGGCTAGTAAAAACGTAACTGTATTGAAAGGCAAATGATATCTAGCGTTAGCTTTATAGTTTGAATGATTCATTTGCAGCAGCTTCATGAGTGAACATATCATGGAAGAAGCTAACGTTGTCTGAAATGCTAACATGTGTTTTAGCTCTAAAAGCAGTAAGTAAAGATGCAAATTACCACAACATCCTCAAAGATGCTCTGGAGCTGCGTTTCCATCGAAAGCGCCATGTTTGCATCCAACAGTTTATTTTCTTTAACGAACCATCACACTAATGAATAAGGTTAGTCGCAGACAATGCTATCGGCGAGCTAAATGCAAAGAGGCACTGGAATGAATGCGCCGCGCGAGGTGCAACTTCAAAAATAATCCGGAGACACATCAGCGACACGAGCTGCACAGTTCCGCTTCACTTTGTCTTCATTATGTGTAGAATAAACTGCATATACAAGTGTGTAACTCTGATTTGCAATTATAAAATAAATGTAATATGTTATTGACAGTTTTCATAAATATGTACCGCTTACACTCGGAACGTATTTTTATAAAACAATATTTAGTTCAGTCTCGCCTATTTAATCTAATGTAGGTCTACCTTACATTGTTAAAAATATGATCTATATTTACACAAAGGCTTTCACATAGATTCGCAAGCCATTGTATCTATATTTACACAGATATACTTAAACTTAAAGTAAACAATTGTGCACGAGTGGTAGAAGGTTTAAGCTTAATACTTATTCTAAAAGCTGAAGGCATTATAAACGCCAATACAATATGTTACATAAATTAAAAACAATAAACCAATCATATGATGAGCTTCTCAATGGTATCGCATAGTTTTAGATTTAAACAACACTCTCTAAGCCAATATAAAACAGACTATAGCAATGTCTCTAACTTAAACTAACATGCTGACGTGTTGATTCATCAATTACAATTAAAATAAATTACGCATGACCCATTTTGAATAACAAGTATTTTTACTTTTGCAGGAGTTATACATGTTTAGTTTGCTTTTGCTTACGCATCAGATTACTCATTCACACACACACGCGCGCGCACAAACACACTTGCACAGGTGTAAATGTGAACAAACAAGTGAGATCGCATTCCTTCCTCCTACACGGAAACCTGGGTTGTTGTAAGTCGTTAAGGTATCGGTAGTCGCTCAAGTATATCCATTCCATTCCGACTAAAGCGGCTCTAATGTAATTCTTCCTCGGACATGTTTTTAAGTGATTTATTTTTAATTGAGTGGAAACATATCGAACCACAGGTGTTCAGTCGGAGCAGGTGACGCAGCCTACGGAGCCCACAGGCCGGCGGAGGGTCTGAGCACCTTCCGGAGAAAATGTTGGTGTTTCTTATGCATTTGTAAAACATGATCGCTGCATACAGATATGTGGACAGTGGTAGTTTTTCTGAACCTCCTGGGAGCTCTGCACTTCACAGGTAAGACTTGAAAAGAACCACATTATGATTACTAGTTCTTTTTTGTTTGTTTTTCTGTCTTTACGTATTCCCATGACTTAACATAACATAGGCCTACTAATGATCAGTCTTGTAAAGTAATTAAGTAGATGTACTCGAGACGAGTAGCCTACTGTACCATTTTGAGAGACTTGTACTTTACTTTAGTATTTCAACTAAGTGCTACTTTGCACTTCTACTTCACTACAATTCAGAGGTAAACCATGTAGGCTACTTTTACTCCACTACAATTATGTAATACCTTTAGTTACTTTACAGATTTGGATTAATGATGTGAAATATAATCAACAGACTTTAGTTACAACTGGAGTAATTTAACAAGCTACAGTACCCTGCAGTATACAAAGTAATAATAATTAAAACTAGCTGCACCTTTACCAGCTTTATAAACACTTTAGTGCATCAATAATTATAATCAAAACATATAATATATATTATTCTGAAATGGGCCAATCTGCATAATGAGTATTTTTGGTACTTTAAGTATATTTTGATGCTAATATTTGTATACTTTTGCTTGAGTACCATTTTTATTGCAGGACTTTTACTTGCAACAGAGTATTGATACACTCGAGTACTTCCACTTTGACTTCTTTACTACTTTTTCCACCTCTGCTAATTATTCATGAAACTGTTATTTGGCTACCGTTTAGGCTTTGGATATATGGCATTAGGTGAAATGTAGATGCATTTAATCATTGACTGACCTGAGTTACTGTGGAGCAGATTTGATTTGATATGGCTCTGTTATGTGTCAGAAGTCCAGGTAGTTTTATGATGTTTGCCCAAATTAAATCTATCTTTTATATGCCCAGCAGCATGGGCATAGTTTGATGAATGACACAATCATTTATTCATATCAGGAAATATCAAGTATTAAAATAGAAACTGATAATATGCACACAGGTTTGATTAACTTACTCCTCCTGTACACGGCTTGTTGTTTGTGTGATTATGTGCCTCAGTGAAAGAAGGCCTGTACATGGCATAAAAATGAGTAATGTGTGTAGTTAAAGATGAATGGTTCATAGGTGCAGGTGTCTGTAACCTACAAATCTGGGAACAGATTTGTAGGTTACTGTCATCAGGAACTAATTTACAACAATCTATTGCAAATGCACAGATAGTTTTATGAATTTGGGTTTTCCTTCTTTTATTTTTTTCATAATATGTGAAGTACAAAACAAGTTCAATTGGTTCAATTCTAACACGTCAGTTATATGTAATGGTTGTTACAAGCAACCTGTAGTACCAAAGCACAACAGCAACCAACCTACAAAACATCTGCTCCAAAAATGACAATGCATTCCGTAACGTACGTGGTAGACATTCTTAAGAAAACATGGGGTTAATTGTATCTCTTATAATTCCTAATCTCTTTCTCCTCAGTCTCCTCCTCTCCCCCCAGCCCTATCAATGTGATCTTCTCCTCAGTCGATCTGAGAAATGTGCTGGAATGGCTCCCAGGAAGTGGCAAACTGGATGACACCCAGTTTACAGTGCAGTATGCCATGTGAGTAAAGAATTTAGAGATTAAATTAAAAAATCCATTTATATGACAGCAGTAATTGTATTTTAGTTGCATATATTGTATTTAGGTTGCATCATTTCTTTCCTTTTTGGGACATTGGTCATAATGTATCAATGTTGGACTTTACCTGGTTTAAGCTGAAGTTAAAGGTGGGGTAGGTAAGTTTGAGAAACTGGCTCGAGATACACTTTTTGTTATATTCCATGGAATGCTCTTAACATCCCGATAGCAATGAATATCTTAAGTGCTTTGACAAAAAATCCATACAAAAATGTAATCTGTGGAAGCCGTAGTACTGTAAAAAGTACGACCAATCATTTTAGCAGGCCCGGCTAAAATAACTGGATGGCCTACCTGCCTGTCAGCCTTCCATCTGTGCACAAACTTATCTCGTGCCCTCATTGGTCATGTGCGCGTTCGTGTGTGTTGGAGGAGGGGCTCTGTAAGGAAGTGGCAGTTTTTTCCGGCTGTGTATTTTCAAATTCTAGCGATCTCGAGCTGGTTTCTCCAAAATTACCTACCCCACCTTTAATGTATCATGCAACGTTTCAAAAGAAGTAAAAAGCTGGCTTTTTAAATATCCCCAAGTACCCCAACATAAAATGGGTGAGGCCGCTTTTATCCACTACGCTCCCAAACTGTGGAACACCCTACCAGGAAATATCAGAGAGGCTAACTCAGTGGACATTTTTAAACACCAGTTAAGACACATCTTTTTAGATTAGCTTTTTATTAGCAACCCAACACTTTAAATGTTCTTTTAGTTTTTATTATTTACCTACCTTTATATTGTTTTATTTATTTTATAGGTATTTTTTATTTCTGTTGTACCTATATGTTCACTTTGTTTTATGGGGTTTTATATTTTATATTGCTGCATCGACTCAGTTGTCTTGTCTCCTATCTGTCAGAGAGAAACCATTATTTATTTTATTTTATTATATTTTTATTATCATACATTTTACCTCCTTGTGTCTATCTGATTAAATGTTATATTTTGCTGCATTTACCTTTTTTAAGTTCTTAACAAATAATCTGAGGGGAATTTCTTGTTGTTTGTTTTTAACTTGTGATGTGTCATTTTGTAAAGCACTTTGAGCTGCATGAGTTGTATGAAAAGTGCTATATAAATAAAGCTTTATTATTATGTAAGCTTAAGTTTCTTGCTTGAGGGAGATTTTTTTTTTAGCTCTGTCCGCCATTCTTATTGACCCAGTTTGTGCGGGATATCCTCTAACTGTGAGGGTCTTCTCTGTGTTTCCCAGCTATGGGGACAGTGTTAAAGGCAGTAGTCGGGCTCACTGGAGGGCGGTGCCGCGGTGTACGGACATCGTGCGGAGGTGGTGTGACCTGAGCAATGAGACGGGGGATCTGGCGCAGGGATACTATGCCAGAGTTCGTGCTGTGAGCCGGAGAGCATTCTCAACATGGGTCCGGACAACGAAGAGATTTGATCCTAAGTCGGACAGTAAGTTGAAGTGTCAACATGTTTAAAAAAAAAAAGCAAGACATAAATACTTAAAACTAAAAAGTGAAGGGCTGATAACTTCGCTGATATTTCAACATCTTCCCAAAAGGTAATATGTTGCTCTATCTGTTTAGCTACTTTTGGCCCTCCTATGGTTTCTGTGGAAATCAAGGACAACAATGCCACCATCACTTTGAAGGGACCCATGAGATATCAGCCCAACGCCCCAATGGTTTCCATGGCATCAGTCTACCCCGACATGACTTACAAACTCTTCATCGAGGGCGCACAGATAGTGAGTTAAAATATACAGCTTTTCCCGCCTTTCTGACAGGTTGTTAAATCAAGCACACCTTAAATTGTATTGCACTGAATTGTCTTTTTCTGTTTGTTTTTAGCCCTATTCTCTAGTGGTCTCAAGTTCGTACACATTTCGCATGATGGAGTACGACACAAAGTACTGCTTTTCTGCCAGGGCAAGTGTATCTTCCATGCCAACCCAATGTCTGCCCTCAGCACGGTACTGCATTACCACACCTAAAGGTACGACAGCCTGTGTGTGTGTGAGAGAATATTGTACGCCCTGTTTGACAGGTAGAAAGGAATGTGACTAAACATGATACACAAGTGAAGCAGAAATCATTGTGTGCCTGAAAAGCCTTTTTGATTATCTGATATTATTAGTCTTGCTTTTGCTTGGTAATAGTGAGTTTTACATTGTATACAATACGTTTTAATATGGCATGGTGTTGATATAGTATTACCTATATGTAGTTTTTAGTGTGTGTGTGTATTATTGTGACACATTTCTGTTTCCCATCTCACTCCAGATCCAGTGCAGAGGGTAGTTGTGGGTATTGTTGTTCCATTGTTGTGCATGGGTATGCTGGTTGTGGTTGGCTACTTTCTCTATAACTACCTGTCGGGGAAAGGACAGGAGAGCCCGTATATACTGGTAATGAAAACACACACATTCACACTTTTTGGCGATTTAAAATGTGATTTGTTAAAGGGTAAAAGGGAAAGTTGATTTTACACATGACGACCAGTTTACTTGTCATGATTACAGCTATATAAAGTCTTGTATGGCTTTGTTAAGTCTTAAAAAATATCAGCTTGGCTTTGGCGACACTTTTAAGGTAGCGCCATGATGTTTTGAAATGTGAGCACCGAACTCATTTGAGTCTGTTATTGGTTTTAAATATACAGTTGTGACAATTGGGTGGCAATGAGATGACATTATCATTCAACCTCCAGAACCTGCCTACCTTTCATCAGCCCCCTCTGACGTTCCCCCCTGAGAATCCCAAACCCATCATCATCACCATCATCACCATCATCAAAGATCAACAACCAGAGAGCGGCACACCACACTCTGCATGCCCAAAGAAGCCGACACCAGGATACGCCTCCCAGAGGCCCCGAACACCACCGGCACCCGAGGAACCCTGGGACGATTTGTCTGTCGACTATGGGTTTCTTGCCGCAGCTCCTAAAATCGAGATCAGAGGAGGAAATTGGAATGATCTGAACTGCCCAGTAAGAGGCAGTTATGAGAAGAAAGAGTGCGACGTTGAAGATGACCACTCAGGTGGACCCCCTCTGACTAATGCCCAGACAGAGATGAGCACACTAATACAAGCGCATGCATGGTCACTGCCAGTGTTAACACCATTAGTGTCTGGTCAGGGAGCTTCTATGGGAGAGGTGAAGGGAAAGGAGGAGGAAAGAGAGTTCCCAGGTTTATTAATAAGCCCAATCCCACAAATAGGCTTCCTCCATATTCCTTTGAATCTATTGGCAAAGAAGAAGGGAGGGATGGGGGAGGAGATGAATGGAAATATGAGAGTGGGAACGGATGGAAAGATGGATCAAAGTGAGAGTGAGGTATTACCCCTTCTTTCTGCTTATGCCTCTCAGAACACTAGGCAGATCTCCCACTCTGACCAATCAGATGACTTACCAGATGACTATGGTGTTCTGACGATGAATACACCACACAATACAGAAGAAGAGGAGGAGGAGGAGGGAAATCTTTGTATTGATTGGGATCCCCAGACCAGGAAACTTGTGTTTCCGGAGATAGCAATGGAGTTTAACAAAGAGGGAGTGTGGGATGGGATGATGCAGGGAGAAAAAGTGAGGGAGAACATGATTGGAGGAGAGGGAGAGGAGGAGACTGTGAATTTGAGGAATGGCGAGCTGAGGTTGGAAAATGTGTTTGTGAGACAAGGGTCCGAGGAAAAGGCAGAGGCACAGAGGGTGTTGGAGGGAGGCGGGGATGATTTTCTGACCGGATGGGGTTTGGTCATCTCGATGGACGAGTAGATGATATTCATCAATTGATTTACTCCATTACTATAAAGAAATATATGCTCTTCTTCTGCACTTATTATGTGCACTTAAATAGCATAACCTATGGGTTTTATTAAGAAAACTACAAAATCGAATTATTAGGAACACGGGCCGTCTCCACGGCAGCGTTAAAAAAATCTTGGAGGTGGGCGTATCTGAAGCTTGGGGATTTTTTTGCGATCAACCAATCACATGAATCTCCCGCCCGCGACATACGAAGCCAAAAAGCCCGAAGTAAACTGGATATAAACTCCCCAAACAGGCGAAAACCTACCACTGTCTCTGCCACCTCCCTCCATGCCTGGCTCCTCTGGTTTATATCCCGGTAGGTCTGGTCATAAAGCACCGGGTGATTGATTCGCTACCGCTAATTTCTCCTCCATTTTTTGGAATATGAGGAAATGATCTGCGGTATGTCTCTCCCAGCATACACGCCGTTTGATTGGCTAGAGCTTGAACTGTCAGATTTGCGTACACGGGATTTGATTGGCTGACGCTTCCTCCTCAGCTTCAAAAGTTGAACATTGTTCAACTTTGGATCTTGAAAATCCTGAGAATCTCCGCTCGCCTGCCCACAATGCATTTCGGCGAAAGCGAAAAAAAGTGACGTCACCCCATTCAAAGTGAATGGGCAGAAGCGTTTCAAGATTTTTTAACGCTGCCGTGGAGACGGCCCGTTAGTGTACTGTAGTCGTGTTACTTGTATACCTGTAAATGTTAATGTTGCTTTATGAAGTTTACTTTATGATTTGAACTTTATCAGATTAACGAATTATACTGATCAATGTGAATACTTATGAAGGAATTACACTTGGGCTTGATGCATGTACAAAGTCAAGGTCTTCTTGTAATACAAATATTCCAAGATTTTGCAGAACGACCACATTTTAGATGTTTTTGTGGACAGATTGCAAATTCTTTGTGAGACTACATGCTTCACAAGTATACGTTGGATGTTTGGATACTATATGTGACACAGTTTACTGCGGATAATCCATGACTATACATATCCTTGTTTACTTATTATCGCTGTCTAGCAGTAGTAGGTGTGTTTAGTTTCATGTTTCAGGTATGTCCCTTTTTAAGTTCCTGGTGCAGCACTTAAACTGTAGACACTTTGGAACAGTAGTTGTTTGTACTGTGTATTTCTGCTCAATTGGGCAGAATTATAATGTGATTAATTTCCATTTCCTCAGTCTGGGATTGCGGTATTCCTTTCAATATAAATCCACTAGTACTGAATATGTTATATGAAGGAAATACTGATGTTCAGAGGAACAAGACAGTATCTACCTCTATGATTAATGTGTTCATATCGTTTATGATGAAGTCAAAGAGAGCGCTTTACTCCTGATGTTTTGTTTTCGAATGTAGAGTCTCTACCTGAACTAGAGTATGTGCCAATATTATTTGTAAAAGAAGTCAACATAATTTTGCAATCATCAGTGTCTTTATCTCTTTAAACAACATACTGTCTGCTGTGCAATATTACAGCGTTATCACTTAGTCATCTTGGTTTTTTTTATATGCAACAATTTGTATGTTTGTTTGGAGCTGAGGTTTTAAGAAGCTTTGTGGAATATGTTATGCTGTCTTGCCTGCAAGTGATCATATTTCCTTACACTACTGGCTCTTCTGCATTCCATCAACACAAGCTATGATTAAAGCCCGGTACATACTTTCACTTTGATAACCAGAAGAATGCTACATCGCTTGTTTCCCTTGTCATAGTGGGGTAAAACCTTACGCTCCTTATATAATGTTGTTCCTCTTTCTCCTAATTTTTGTAACTGTTTTTACTCAAGATGTTAAATGAAGGAAGCTTTGGTTTGATCATCTCTACAAACCTGCATGTTTTCAAAGCCACAGTAAACAGGAATTTTAAAACCCTACATTTAGTTTCACAACTCAGGTTTTTCTGCAATGTGATGACAAGTTTGATGCTGTGCATGAATTGTATACGTACAATGTTTTTCATAGAATTGTATGTCGCCAGACAGAATTATTGTATATTAAAATAAATGATATTAAAGTGAACAAGTTCTGCTCTGCTTTGTTTTTAGCATGAAATTTCCTTTCGCTAGATGTTTGACTCTTACAAGCTCAACAATTTGAAAATATGCACATACTTAAGGTAATATACAGTATATTCCTGACACCTGCCTTTATACGATTCAACAAGAGAATGAAGAGACATCTGCTGGTCAAATCTTAAACTGTTTAGATATACTGTATTTTATATCTAAATCTGCACTTTGCAAATGTAGAGGTGTAAAAAATCACGTATTGGCATCAAGAAAAAAAAGAAAAGTATGCATACCTTTTAGAATAATACTTTTCTAAAATGTACTTTTATTTATTCAAGCACTGTAGTTTTGAAAAGAAAAGTATGCATACCTTTAGAATAATACTTTTCTAAAATGTACTTTTATTTATTCCAGCACTGCTGCTAGTTTTGGTTCAAACTTGATGTAGTTTTGGGAGATGGTCAACACAAAAGTAAAGTGTCTTGTGGTCACTTAATAATGTTCTTATCTGTAAGATATATGAAACAAAAAAGATATCACATAAAAAATATATATAAATGTATTAACAGTATATAGATGTACCTTTAGGTGGCGCGCTGTTGTTAAACTACGGCTCCTCCATCTGTCCTCATCCGTCATGGCGTCGCCATGCCCGGCTTCAGCTCTGCATCACTGGGCGGGGCCGCGGAGGGTCGGACTGCCAGGCGTTGGGCACTTCCGCCGGGCTCGGGTTTCCTTCGACTCGGCATTTAAATTGAGCTGCAGGACATCAGCTGCGGCTACATTCAGCGCCGTGCTGTGACAGAAAATAACCCGCAGCATTAGCAAAACAGGCTACTCTTATTTTTTTACACGAAATAGACAGAAATAGCTGATGGTCTGAGGAGGTTTGGGGTGTTTTGTGTGAAGAAGAGCGGGAGAGGTTGAACAATAACGGAGACTGTGCTCTGACAGCAGCTTGGTGCATCATTTTTGGGATTCCTCTGCTAGCTGTTGGACGAAATTGAATAGCGGTAACGAGATGCTATGCATGAGCGGAATTATTTAGGCTTTTTTGAGCAGTGTTTGTTTTCTAAAAGAGATTGGTAAACAAAAACAAAGTTATTGAATGCATGTTTTTTTTTGGCCCAGGAGCAAAAGTGGCCTGGACTTGGATGATCTATGGACCTGATGACGAGAGTGCATTTGATGAATAAGGTTTAAATTCTGAAAAATATCCTACAATTTGGATATTTTCTTATCAGTTGAAGACATTTACCCGTACAAAATACAGGCCTGAAATAAATAACCTTCAACTGGGGTGGCTCAATATTATCAATAACAACAGTCACCACCCATTATTTAATCTATACATTTATTCTTCTTCTTTTTGGAGACATTTCCTGTAGAATATAACCAGGAAAAAAACTAAATAAATTATTTTTTGTGTTTATGTCACGGTTAATTATTTTTGTTTATTTTTTGACTCTCAACTAGGTTAGATCTAAGCTTCACTTTCTTTTTGTTTTATTTGTAAGGAAATCTCTACCAGCTCTTAAGAAGAGTGTTTGATCCCTCAAGGACATTTGACATTGTTAAACCTGTCAGTCGACAAGAAAATAATCTGACACGAGTGACCAACAGCATCTTTGACCAGTTCAGCAGCCATGTTCAGCTGGCTTGGGAGCGACGACAGGAGGAAGAAGGATCCAGAAGTCTTTCAGACCGTGGGTGATGGACTGAAGAAGCTCTACAGAACCAAACTCCTGCCGCTGGAGGAGGCTTACAAGTTTCACGAGTTCCACTCCCCGGCCCTGGAGGATGCAGACTTTGACAACAAGCCTATGGTCCTACTGGTGGGACAGTACTCCACCGGCAAGACAAGCTTCATACGGTGAGATAAACAGCACAAACACCCATACAGGAATCACACAAAACACATGAGGTCACCAGAAAGATAGAGGTTGACACACCCTAACTGACTTTTCTCTGTCAGTTTGTCAAAAAGTGAGAAAGAAGGGGAGAGAAAAAATAATCAAAAACACAAGGAACAATAGGAAAGATCAGTCCTCACACACAAACACACTAAAGAGCCACACCTCTGCAAGAGTAATTGAAACCATAACTTTGATATGACAGCTAATACATATGAAGGCAGCGCTGCCTGGCACTGGAGCCTCTCTCATGAGGTGTGTGTATATACATGTTGTATATGTGTATGATTACACCACACAAGGACATCTATCACATCACGGTTTATTCCTTGTACATGGTTTCTCAAAAAAACATCATCTGGTGGACATTAAAAGCCCTGTTAGCCAAATAAAACTTGTTGTTTAGTCAAGAATCAAGCTATAAGCAGATGTTTTCTTGGTTATTACTAACTGATGTACAACAACATGTCATTGTCAGTCATTTCAAGAAGGATTTCAAAGACTAGGGGTAATATATATTGACACACTATTGTGTTGTAATATGACTTTTGTGATACTGTATTGATTTTTTCAAGAAATGTATGATTTTGATGACCCTTTTAGTTTACATGCAAAGATGAAATCATTTAATACATTATTTCATTTGTAATTATATCCACCCTCTTATCGTATGTGCCCTGTCCAATTAGTGCTGTGATGTTGGATGTTACAGGGACGTTAAGAAATGCAAATCTAAATACCAATGTTCAGATTGTATGTTTTCTCTATGACAGTTTCCCTAAAATGTGATTTTACACCCTGTATCCAATTGCAAGATTCACGCTAGTACACTGCCCCATCAAATACACGCCTAATTTAACTTAAATTCAGATTAAGTGTACTCTTCTTTAGTATAAAATAATGTTATATATTCAGAGTTGTGTGAGAACTCATGACCTTGAATAGTCCGGTGTTGGTTTATGTGTGACAGCAGGAGATATTAGCAGCTGGGTGTTGGGCCTCTTTTTGAACTGCAGGACAGCTACTAACGACTTGACACACACCCACGCGCGCGCGCACACACACACACACATTCTCTCTCTCTTGCAGAGCATAGTGGGTAATTAGTGGGGTTAGCCTTTGAACGCCAGAAAGAGGATGCTTTTAGTGACTTCCTGTTATAAGACAGTGCAGGCTGCTCTCTCTCTTCTTCCTCTCCTGTCTCTCACTGATGTCTCTCTCCCTCTTTTCGTTACACATTTCACCAATTACAACCGCCAACAGTCAGCAGCCTAACCCCAACCCCCCCGCCATTGTAACAGTAACATGCAGAATGTAAAGCTGTTTAGTAACCCTCGCTCAGCAGCATCTCTGGGTGTCACCCTCTGGATGTTGGAGCACTGCAGGTCTTTGAACCGTAAGAAAGAACGTTTAGAATAATGATGTTTAGTTATGTCAGTTACGGCTTGATGTAGAAAAAGTTAATAAATGCGAATGGATGGAGGGACAAGAGAGAATATAGTCTCTCTTCTTCTGTGGTCATTCAGAGGCCAGTCATCTGAGCCTGTCTTAATTTTAGGAATGAGATTTATTGATTTTCGACTTGTTTCCCAAATGTTACTTTGAGTCTTTCGAGGATTCCAAGTTTTCCTTTAGGCTGATTTCCAAAGTGCATCAATGCTTTTTTAACCTCATAGTCTAATACATTAGGGTTACATTTGTGAAACCAGCACCTGTGAATCTTCAGTTTTATCTCACTGACAGCTTGCTGCAAAGAATGTGAGAAATGTAATGGTATGATGAGAGCTGAAGGCATGTGGATTACACACACACACACACACACACACACACACACACACACACACACACACACACACACACACACACACACACACAGTATGTACTATATGACATGGAACATACAATCTGCACAGCCTCCCCACAGACACATTAAACAGACAGGAGTGCAGAGAGATGGCTCCACCAGGCACTGTGCCGACTGCTCTGACAAGGTGTGTGTGAGTGTATTTGTGGAGATGTGTAAGGGGAACCATCCTTACATCTGGTAGCTGTTAAGATGCACACACATCCCACACTCGCACTTTAAATGTATGGTCTGTTTTTGGCCGTAAATCTTTTTCCTAAATCTCTTTATGGCCTTCGCTCACAATGTTGGGGTTGTGAAACTCAGCAGAAAACACACTAATCTTCATTTGTAACATGTGTGATGACACTGAATTAACAGATGAGCATGCAACCGTTCAAGACAAACAAGTGCCTGGTAAGGCTCAACCAAATTCTTGTTCAGATGTGTCTTCCTAAACCAGTCTTAATGTTCTAGAACTTTCATTATTTAGCAACTGCAAAACTTGTTTGACATTTTCAAGGTAATCGTCCTTTTAGGAAATCTTAAATGAGTCCAAGATGTACAGCTCTGCCTGATGGGCGGCTATGCTTGTTTCTTCATTATTATGTCAACTTTTATCTGTTAGCAGCATGTCTGTCACAACGTGTGATGAGAGTAGTCCTCATGCTCACCTGCAAATGTACTTATCTATTTTTGGCCCAATACCTTCTATCTGTGTCTCAATGAACTAAATAGCAACAAACTCAGATCATACGTCATGCTGCTGAGTTCGAGCAGTGTCTTCTTTCGTGCTCAGCAGCTATCCAGCTCATAATGATGTAAAATTCCCCTAATGCTTGTTCCAGCAGCTTCTAATTCAAGGCAGACCTGTTTCCTGGTGAATTTTGAGTTTTTTCTTTGACCATACAGACTAAAAGGCCTTGCAGAACTTATTTCAAATTAGAGCCCGCTGGTCTATCACACATCAGCTGCTTACAGTTCACTGTAAGGCCAATTACAAATGGTAGAAGTGGAAAACTACCCCTTGGTTGGAGAAAACCGTTGACAGTAATGTCTTATGAAGTGGTATCAATCTCTTGTAACTCATTCTCAGAATCCGTTATTGGTCTAACGAAGATTTAGTTTCTGGGGCAACGGCTAATATATCCTGGGCAAGACTTCCTCTTCGCCGGTCTTTGTTAACAGTCCGATTAGCAAAAGACAAAAGAGTTGAGAGTGGGCACCTAGGACATCACTTTATTACATGTATACAATCTTTTTTTTTAGCTGACAAAAAGCTTAATTATCGTCAGACAATAGCTGATTGGTTTAGAGCAGGGGTGTCCAAACTTTTTTCACCAAGGGCCACATACAGAAAAAAATACGAAGGGCTGGGCAACTTATAGAGGTGAGGTATATTGCCTCGTAAGTTATAAGTTAGCAAAATGTAGGTAAATTAGGCTTGATACATGAATATGCTTTAAGAAAAAAACAGCCTCCATCACAGCTCTCTATAGGGTTTCATGTATCTTGTTGGCAGCTCATTCCTTAAAACAGAAGCCTCAGATTGATTATAATAAGGAGAAATAGGAAAGGGTGTATTTCAAGCTTGTTATGTTAATAAGTCATTGGGCTTTTTTTGATCAACTAAGATATGTTAGAAAATGTTTTCAACATGAATTGACTGAATTTATTTAAAAGGTGGTCTTATTAACACATGAATACTACTGTGTAATATATTTTTACATTTATATTTAAGAAGTACAATATAAGACAAACACAAGTTTCATTTGTGGGCCATATTTCATTGTACTTTTTGGATTTGCTGAGGGCCGATTCAAAATGGCCCCCAGGCCGTAGTTTGGACACCCCTGGTTTAGAGACTGCCTTTTTAGCCAATGCGTTCATGATTGGTCAATACTATTTGGACTACAACCAAAAACCAGAAGGCTTCTGTTATCAAAATCCCGTCCCGTTGCCTACAGATTCAGCATTCATACACAGATATCCGTTTATAGAGATTACCTGAAGATTGGCGTTAAGCTATGCTAGCTGCACAATGCCCTCTGCTCATGGTCTCAGATGGCATCTTCTGTAAAAATGGTTTTATAGAAAAAACAACATCTCTTCTCTCCCTTGTTTTGTGTAACGCTATGTCATATCATATCTCGCCCACAGCTACCTGTTGGAGCAGGATTTCCCCGGTATGCGTATCGGCCCAGAACCCACCACAGATTCCTTCATCGCGGTGATGCACGGCGACACCGAAGGAGTCATCCCGGGAAACGCTTTGGTGGTTGACCCCAAGAAGCCCTTCAGAAAGCTCAACGCATTTGGAAACGCATTCCTCAACAGGTAAACACACAAAGTGCTAGATGACATGCACCGATTCTAGATGCTGTCAGATTTCTGTGGGTGTGTGTTTGTGTGTACTGGAAACACAAAGTTGTATATCAAGGTGAAGTATGTGGCTGTAGGGGGGGGGGGGGAGTAGAAAAGGAAAGGGAGAGTGAGAGCACTACTGAGAATCCACACCACCCGCTCTACATTCCTGGGTGATTGAATTTCCCTCACTGGTCAAGCCTTTAGTGTGTGTGTGTGTGTGTGTGTGTGTGTGTGTGTGTGTGTGTGTGTTGTGTGTGTGTGTGTGTGTGTTGTGTGTGTGTGTGTGTGTGTGTGTGTGTGTGTGTGTGTGTGTGTGTGTGTGTGTGTGTGTGTGTGTGTGTGTGTGTGTGTGTGTGTGTGTGTGTGTGTGTGTGTGTGTGTGTGTGTGTGTGGTGTGTGTGTGTGGTGTGTGTGTGTGTGTGTGTGTGTGTGTGTGTGTGTGTGTGTGTGTGTGTGGTGTGTGTGTGTGTGTGTGTGTGTGTGTGGTGTGTGTGTGTGTAGTGTGTGTGTGTGTGTGTGTGTGTGGTGTGTGTGTGTGTGTGTGTGTGTGTGTGTGTGTGTGTGTGTGTGTAGGTGTGTGTGTGTGTGTGTGTGTGTGTGTGTGTGTGTGTGTGTGTGTGTGTGTGTGTGTGTGTGTGTGGTGTGTGTGTGTGGTGTGAGATATGCGTGAGATGCGTGATGCAGTCATCCTTCTGGTAAAGGAAAGATGCCAAAAGGTGTCCTGGCTGTGAGGGCCCGCCGCTGCTGAAAGGAGACAGAGGAACTGTCAGTGGGGATTAGGGGGGGGGGGGGGTCGCAGTGAGGATGACCGCTAACTTGTTACTGTTTATACAGCTGAAGACTGAGAGGTAGAGGTGTAGGGCCATGTTTGTTGTTAAAGCGTCTTACACTTCTGTCCATTTTTGTTTAAACTTTCCTCTCATTTCCTTCTCTTCCCATCTGCTCTCTTTTCGTCTCCTAATCCATCTCTTTTCCTCTCCTCTTTTATTCCTCTAATATCTCTCTGTCTTTTCTTCATCTTTCCTCTCCTTCCTCTCATCTCCTTTTCTTCTCTCAATGTCTTCCTCTTTCTTCTCTTTTCCTACTGCTGATTTCCTCTCATCAATGTTGTTCTCATGTCATTCTCTCGCCTTTTCTTTTCACCTCCTCTTCCTTTTTCTTCTCTCTTTGCTTCTCATCTCCTTTTCTTGCTTTCCTCTTCGTATCTTCTGTTCCTCAACTCTCATTTGATTTTCTTCCATTCTTATGATCTCCTCACATTCCTTTCCTCATCTCTTTTCCTCTCGTGTTCTTTTCCACTCAACTTGTTTTCCTCTCCTCTCGCTCGTTTAGGTTTGTGTGTGCCCAGCTGCCTAACCCAGTGCTGGAAAGCATCAGTGTGATTGACACCCCAGGGATTTTGTCAGGAGAGAAACAGAGAATCAGTCGAGGTAAGACACACACTCTCTTATCCCCCTTAGTTTATGTTAATCAGTGTGTGTCTGTTTGTGTGTGTTCGTGCCTGTGTGTGTGTGTGTGTGTGTGTGTCAGTGTTCGTTCACTGGACCCATTCAGCTGCAATCCTCTAGTCCCCTGAACTCTGGACTACAATGTCAGCGTTTCCTTTAGACGTGTGTGTTTATTTTAGCTTTTAGCTATCATGAGGATTATGCTTCATTCATTTCAAAGAACAGGAAGCGGCGACAAAAAGATGAGCTTTGAATGTGCTCTACACACACTCTCGGAAACACACACACACATGTATGCACGCACCAAATGCAGATTTATAACACCAATCAGTTCAGTAGTGACTCTAAATACTTTTTTTTTTATGTGCTTGTTAATGCATAACACTTGCATATTCAATATTTCAGAGTGGCACATTTTAGATGACTTGCAGTTTACTCAAAGTAGTAACATACCGCTCTGGAAAAAATTAAGAAACCACTGCACATTTTTCTTGAATCTCAATCTCTACATGTATGGCAGCCATTCCATTCCAGTGTGTGTTGAATTACTAAATAAATGTTGTCAGTAGTTTATAGAATAAAATAAATAAAAAATAATTTTACTCTGACAAATACCTATAAATAGTCAAATCAGAGAAACGGATAATGCCGCAGTGGTCTCTTCATTTTTTCCAGAGCTGTATGTGCTAGCATTCGCTCAGAAAGAAAACTCAGTATTTGCAGGAAACTATTTTTAAAGTTAATGCAGAACACAAAAGGCAATTAGAGAAGCATAAAACCATTCTAATCCTTTGTTTACACTTCATTCCTTTCTTGGTTTTATTGTGTTGAGATTGAAATCAAAGTATAAGAAAGTGTCACCTGGCCATTTAGTTTCATAACACTTTTTCATTAATCCATTCCATCTATTTACACAAAAACCCATCCATCTCAGTTTCTAATACAACACGCCAAAACAACATTTAAGGATGAAATAACCAAATAAAGCGATATCGTTCCTAATGATATTATTATTTATCTATGTTTTAAACGAGTGAACCAGCAGTGGACGGATCCCAGACGTGGGGTTTAACTGGACCTCGTGTGAATTGAAGTTTAGGGGTGAAAGGCTCAAAAGAATTCCTCCGGCTTTCTCTCAGTTTGATAAGTGTCCGGCTTGGCTGGCATTCCTGGAGCTAAATACAGGCATTGCCCTACCAACAGCTAACATAACAAAAGAGCTGGCATAATGAAACACAGCTACAATTGACTGTTACCCACATTCACTCTTGCACTGGGCATCTTTGAATTCTGGTTCTTCTATTCTTTCCCCTTGTTAATTTTGCACTGTTAAAAAGTCTCCTATGCCAAGTAGATCCCATGTTTGTTTTATATTGGCTCTCAACACAGTACATGAATTATTGATCCAGGCGGTGTAACAAAGAATCTTTGTATAGCGAATGATTTAACTTTACAAACTAGACATAATGAAGGTGTGCTGGCATTCATGGTCCATTCTACTGCTGAGCTCTAAATAAGCCGTGTTGTAATGATGCTTTTGTTAATACACAATACTGTTAGCAGTGTCAATAGAAACGTATTTGGTCCATGCCGGGCCCGTTTGCATTTACAGCAGATTCTGATTCTATAAAAACCCTACTTTCACTTTGCTCAGAGGGTGTTGACATGAGAAAATATGTAAACATACTTATAAAGTTCCAATAGCCAAGTAAGAATAATGAACAGCTCTTTGAGGCCAGCGCATTACTTAATAGCACAATGGGGTGTGACCCCGCTGTTGTCCGTTGGATATATACAAAAAAAAAGAATACTGCTGAGTCAGCACAGCTGTGTTATCTCTGGTGACAGAGTGTGTATGACGGCGCTTTTGTTTGTGTGTGTGTGTGTGTTCATTTTCCTTTCATCCAATTCCATCATGTGTTTATTCCATGTCTTGTGTATGTTTTCATGTTTTATCTGTGTGTGTCTCATTTTTTGTTTTATTTCAGTGTGTGTGTGTGTGTGTGTGTGTGTGTGTGTGTGTGTGTGTGTGTGTGTGTGTGTGTGTGTGTGTGTGTGTGTGTGTGTGTGTGTGTGTGTGTGTGTGTGTGTGTGTGTGTGTGTGTGTGTGTGTGTGTGTGTGTGTGTGTGTGTGTGTGTGTGTGTGTGTGTGTGTGTGTGTGTGTGTGTGTGTGTGTGTGTGTGTGTGTGTGTGGTGTGTGTGTGTGTGTGTGTGTGTGTGTGTGTGTGTGTGTGTGTGTGTGTGTGTGTGTGTGTGTGTGTGTGTGTGTGTGTGTGTGTGTGTGTGTGTGTGGTCACAAGGTGGCCTAACACCGTACTGCTAATTGGCCTTTGTCTCTGTGTGTGTGTGTGTGTGTGTCCAGATGACGAGTCAGGCTATAGCTGCCTGTATAGATGTCCTTATGGAGGTATTGTAGATGATAAACCTGGGCAACAGCTGCAAAAAGTCTATTTAAAGTGATACTTTGAAGAATTAATAGACTGTTCTTCAACAGAAACTTGTCACATGGTTTGGGGAAAAAAAATAGAAATATATGTTTAGCTTGTTAGCTATAAATTGAATACTTTAGTCAGATTTGTCCAATGTACCCGTTCAGCCAGTGTCTGTTTCCTTAATGTTTTCCCAGAGTAAGGTATTTTCAACAGAGGACGAATCATAGTTATCTTTTTGTTCTTGGAATATCTTAATATCGAAACAATCTTTTTTTGTGACTTTTTTTGCATAATTGTAAACTGCACAGGAGGAATCCTTACGTTTCTATAAAAACTACATTTACATTCAAAAGAATACATTTTTTGGGGACAAATTTTCCTCTTAAGTCCTTTCAATTTGATCAAATTGATATCCCCATACCATGACGCTAGTGCTATACTCAGGCCCAAATATTAGCTTTGTACAAAAGTTATACCAAACTGATAAAAAATGTATTGTAGGTATGCACAAGCCCCCCAAAAATAAAGTTAATTGTGATCCCCTGCACATAACTCTACCACCACTGTTAAGGCGTTAAGAAGGGAAATCTGTAGCTTTCACACTGTGACGAACATTGCGATCAATAGTGGAACCTAATATTGTTCCCCACATCATGTGAAAAGTGCTTCCTGTGAAAAACAATTCCACTATAATTCAAAATATCTAGAAACTATCTCACATTCTTAACCCTGCGTATCTTTGCTCAAGCAGCAGTGTGTCCTCTATCTAATCTCAGCTGTGTTTATACAGGACAGAAAGACACAGCTCAAACCAATTGACATGTTTTACAAATGTATTGCTACAGCTGCCAAATGTTTGCTCACATCCCAGGGAGGAAATATCAAACACTCAACATTAATTTGTTCTGAAAGATCACTGGTAAAAGAGCCTTTGAGGCATCATGTCAGCAATACCATTTAACACTGGAATAAATACACATTAGAAATCATTCAAATGGAGTATAAATGATTCCTTTACTGGGCGGAGCAGCTGCAGCAGTAGCAATCGCAGCAGTAGAGTATGTATAATGTGGGATTTGTATCATCTCTGTTTAGCGAGACTGCCTCCTTGTGAAGGTGATTAATGGCGCGTTTCCACTACACGGCCTCGCTCGGCCCCGCTCGGTATGGCTGGGCCTCGTTAGGACTGGCTCACTTTATGGCGCATTTCCATTACAGTTTAGGAACTGGGGTAGTATCTATAGTAACGCAGTGTAGGCGGAGCCGTGACGTGATCTTCAGAGAACCCCAGAAAAACAACACAGCCGTTAGCTGTTAGCACTCAGAGCTCACAGCTCCTCATATATGTTCAGAAACTAGACAAAAGTTAAACAAGTACAAACCACAGACTGCCTGTGTCATGGCGAATACAGTCGCTGCTTTATTTATGTCTGTATAGGCCGTTGTTGTGAGTGTGGACGGTCGGAGCATATACTGCGTTAGCTTAGCCAATCTCCATTTAGAAAAACACGCATTTTAAAAGGTTTTTCGCCTGCCGTCTGTCTGCAGACTTGACAAAGCATTAATTCATGGTTTTTACTAACCGGTATCAGTATGTTGTTACTTCGGCATCATTTTGAAACGTGTATTACAATTAAATCACGGTCAAATATGTCCATCTTGTTGTAGTTGTAGCCCCCTTGCCAGCGATGCTCTCTCTAGTTTAGCATACTCAGCCCGACTCAGCCTCGTTGTCTCTGGCCCTAGACCCACGATTTTATGAGGTCAGAAAAACTGTGAATTAGGACCCGCCGGCCGGTACTAGGCCAAGTGGAAACGCAACCAAAGACGGGCCGCTGACGTCACAGCCCTCTTAAACCGTGCTCCGCGCTTTAGTGGAAACGCGCCATTAGATTCAAAGCGATAACAAACCCAAAGCTTGAAGATTTAGTCTGTTATTTAAAATGGAGAACCTGTTCTTCAGAAAACCAATTTCTCATTCACTGTATTAACATAAAGCTTCTTCCTACTATCATTGGACAGCAAATGCGCCTTCGTTGCTGTCCCATAATCTCAGCTGGTTCACATTGACGTGTCCTTCAGCGTTGGTTGGAAAACTTTAGCTCACTAATCCTTCGTTCTGCCCGTTGTTCTTTGTTCTCCTCTCATATACTGTGGAATTTCTCCAGGTTAAAGTCTGTTGTGTCCTTGAGTAGGACACAAAGTTAAAGGAGGAAATGATGTACTCCTGCTGACAGACTTAATCATTGATTCATTTACTCCTGCATAACGGAGGCATTAACTTATTCATTCACTCATTACTCTCACTATTACATTTCCCATTAAAAAACAGAGCCAAAAGAGACCGTGACATATTGTTGTGTTAGTTTCTTCTTTCATTTTGTTTGGTTTTAAGGAGCCTCTTAGTTGATCTTAGGCAGGACTGCATCCATCTGTAAACAGTCTTTTCTCAGCCTGTTGTAATATGGGCGTTCTTTGTAATGCCTCCTCTATGACCTGAAGCCATTGTAATGGTTTACTTATTATTGCAACATCACAAACTTGTGTACCGCAAAAGGAATTCAAATGACTCTCTTAATGCCATTTGGACACTGTTATGGGATTGGAGCAAAGAAACAGGAAGTAGAAGAAAACACCATTAATCATCTCTCTTTTTCACATTCTTCTTTTTCCCAAATGTTAATTTAACCCTTGTTTTGGGTCCTCATCCTCCTTATCCCTGCAGGCTATGACTTTGCGGCTGTCTTGGAGTGGTTTGCAGAGCGAGTGGACAGGATCATTTTACTGTTTGACGCCCACAAACTGGACATCTCTGACGAGTTCTCAGACGTGATAAAGGCCCTGAAGAACCATGAAGACAAAATCAGGTACTGAAGGGTGGCTTAACTTACAGATATATCTAATTCTAGTGCAGATATATGCAAATAGCGGCTCTCATTGTAAATGAATATCACACATTATAGGTCATCTATGCAATGTTACTGTTTGGTTAACATGAACACTGTACTCTCTTACCTTTTTTCTTTGCCAGGGTCGTGCTGAACAAGGCTGACCAGATAGAGACACAGCAGTTGATGAGAGTGTATGGAGCCCTAATGTGGTCACTGGGAAAAATAGTCAACACCCCTGAGGTAATCAAAGCAGGAATTGTAAAAATGAATCCATGGATTTCAAGTTTTCCAGAAGTTTAAAGTGCTCAGTTATCTTTTCTGGTGTTGTCATCAGAGGGAAATCTGGTTTAACCCTTTTAATGGTATATATGTAACATTTCCGCGTTAAATTATGTAAAAATAACACCAACTCCATCATCTTAAACTACATCTTATCAGCATCAAAGTTTGTCTTCTGATATTGTTTCAACCCTTGTGGCAAACATAATGACCTTAGCTGGTTTTATTTTGAGTTGGTGAAGTCTAGTTGTCATCTAAAGATCAATGTGTTTTTGTTGCTATATATGGTGATATCTGTTTAATTGTGCCTTTTGACGTCTTCTTTCTCCCTCAACAACAGGTGATCCGCGTCTACATCGGGTCATTTTGGTCCCATCCTCTGTTGATCCCAGACAACAGGAAGCTGTTCGAAGCAGAAGAGCAGGACTTATTTAAAGACATTCAGTCTTTACCGAGAAATGCAGCGCTTAGAAAACTCAACGACCTGATCAAGAGGGCAAGACTAGCCAAGGTAAGGCAGAAGTGAAGACACTCACTGATGGAGAACCTGCACAGGTGTGGCTAAAAGTATCAAGTCTTTGTTTTGGGATGTTATTTGAGAGTGATGTGTTTTTAGATTTTCAGCACAGGGGTGTGTGTGTTTTTGTGTTTCCCTTGTCTTCTTCCCATCACTCAGTCCCCCTCCCCGCCCAGTCCAGCTGTTAACCTTGACAGAAAAAGTGTGTTGCTGTCACAGAACCAGACTTATTTGGCTTCTCTCCTCTCTCTGAGTGAATTGTTTCCTGTTTCCTCACCGGACAGGAAGTAAGGTATAAGAGGCGACAGTCCGCTGCCCGTTGTAGTTCAAGGAAAATGCAGAGGATGTATGCGTGCACACATTGAAACACACACAAACAGATTTATCTAACTGACAGTGCAGCGCAGCTTTCCTGTTTGACAGCTGATGGGGTGTTTGCATGTTTTTGGGATTTTCTTCAAGGACACAGGGTGGATTCAAGGAAACAAACCCCTGTCACCACAGCAACATAACAAATATGGGTTTCTCCATTCATTTTGCTATGTTTGTTTTGTTTGGTTATCATCCTAAAGAGTTTGATCTAATCAGGCCAAAGAAACTGAAATCTTGAGGTTTTTAAACTTTAAATATTCTAAATCTAAGAGGCAAACTTGTTGTCTTAGTAACTGTTGTTGTTAAGTAAATGATCATCTATCCCTCTCACAATACAGGTCCATGCCTACATCATCAGCGCTCTGAAGAAAGACATGCCCGCTGTGTTCGGAAAGGAGAACAAGAAGAAGGAACTGATTGGCAGTCTGGGAGATATTTACAAACGCATTGAAAGAGAGCATCAGATATCACCGGGAGATTTCCCTAATCTGAAGAAGATGCAGGTAAACAGACAAAGGAATGCAGATGTATAGATGTTGGTTTAGATAGATTTGGATCTAAACTTGTGGTTTGTCTTTTGTTTTGCCGATTCCAGGACCTACTCCAATCTCAGGATCTCAACAAATTCCAGCCTCTGAAACCCAAACTCCTGGAGGCAGTGGACGACATGCTGAGCCACGACATCGCCGGCTTAATGGTTCTGGTCCGCCAGGAAGAAAGCCAGCGTCCCAAACCCGTTGTGAAAGGTGGAGCGTTTGACGGCACTTTGGACGGCCCGTTTGGCCACGGGTACGGAGAAGGAGCCGGCGAAGGCATCGACGACGCAGAGTGGGTGGTCGTACGAGACAAACCCGCCTACGACGAGATCTTCTACACGTTGTCTCCCGTCAACGGAAAGGTGACGGGTGCCAACGCCAAGAGGGAGATGGTGAAGTCAAAACTGCCCAACACTGTGCTGGGAAAGATCTGGAAGCTGGCAGACATCGATAAGGACGGGATGCTTGACGATGAGGAGTTTGCGTTGGCCAATCACCTGATCAAAGTGAAACTGGAGGGACACGAACTGCCATCGGACCTGCCCGCACACCTGGTGCCGCCTTCCAAGAGGGAAATATCTGAGTAAATGTACGATTACATCATTCCATGCCCCAATAACCTGTAAGTAGACCCATCCCCTCCACCCAGAGGAAAGTTCAAAGTAGAATAGAAATATTCCTGTAGCATTATAGCAAAAAAGATTTAACAAAATTAAACCACGTTTCCAACTCACAATGTTGCTCTGCTGCTGCCATCCCCACATGGGCAGACTTTCATTAGCTTCAAGAGGCAAATAATAAAGCTAAATATTCAGTTACATTCAAATAATGAACATGAATGCTAATCAGCTGTTAGCATGTGAATTCAAATGCTACATGTCTGCAGTGTTGCAATAGCTTTTACCATGGTAGAAAAACTGGATCGTAATGAGTTCTCCCATTAAGTATTTGGCTTTTAAGGGTGAGATATCTGGAACTGAGAGGCAGGACAAGTGTTGGAGTGAGAACAAAGCGAGAAAAAGATATGAAAGGATATTAAAAGTCTAAAGTAAGAAACACTGGAATACAACTTAATGTAAGGTAATCCAAACTACTGGAAGATAATGGGTGAAATACGCAACAATGTGACGACGAAAAGAGAGTTGGAAGGATCATTCCACGGCATGTAAAGATGCAAATTATTATTGTATGTATGGTAATGAATACAGATATCTCATGTTTGACTGCAAAGTTAAAGTTCCCTTATCTCGTGGTATTGTTCAGTCTTGAGGTGCGGCTGAGTTTTCTGGCTTTTGTTTCATGGCGCAGATTAAAAAGGCTCCAAGGAATATCTGGCAATTGCTCGAGATACAGAAATGTGTAGAAGCGCACACACACACACACACACACGGAAAAATAACACAATTCTTATGAATTGTGTCCAGAGCAGGGAAAATTACCTACAAACATTTGTTTTGTTATTTTAAATGTGATATGCAGATGTTGATATTTGTGTAAACCATTTTACTGAAGCACATTGTTTTTCTTCCAATGGGGACAAAAACTAAGGATAACAGGTAGTTTGTTTCTTTTATGATTTTAGATCTAAATATTAACATGTTTGGAATACTGTGACTATAACATGGAACTATATAATGGGTATTGTTTCAAGTATTCAGACATACTCAGTAAAATGTTATTGTAAGGACTTTGAATGTTGAATGTGAAGGCGTTCTTGGTTCTGTGTGGGCACATCCTGAGTGACTATTGAATGACCACATGTATCACTGTCATCATTTGTAACGTATTAAGTATTAAGCATTTCACAGGTTATTGAGCTGTGAGTGGATTGTTGATTGAAAATGGATGAATATGTTATTGTTCACATTGTTAAAGTAAACTATTATAAAGAGAGAAAACACACAGCTGTTCTTTTGTGATGATAAAAAAAACACTACTTTAAATGTTTTAAAATGAAATTTGGCTTTTCATTTCATGTCCAAATTGTATACATCTAATTGGATTTACTGTATGCCAGTATGTATCTAAAATTACTAACATTAGGATCTTGTTTGTGGTTAATCATAACATTAGACCAACTAAACTTGGGTTCCCATATAATAAGAAATAATCACTTTTGTGTTTTACGAGTGAGTTTGAGTTCCAGAATGACTGAAATATTTCTGTGCCCCTCCCTCTCCGTGTGTCTCTGTGCCGTTACTGTGAATCTACTGTACATAATAAGGCTGTTTGCATTCCATGAACATAGATTGAGGAACATCATCTCATCACCTCGAGTGCTTTATGCATCACTTGCTCATATTTCACAGCTCAGATCAACAGAGTAAATATAAAAAAGGGTTATTGTTGAATGTGGATTCTCTGCATGACAAAGTCCTCGAAATTCACAAGTTGTTTTCATACCCTGACAGATTGCAACATGAAGTCTGTGTACTGGTAAATACACTAAGTGGAGAGAAAGGGGTTCGTTTTTTTTTCAGTTTTAAGATGGGTATGCATTGCTAAATCTGTACTTCACTGCTTTTCTGTACATGAACAGTCCAAAAATGTAATAAAATTCATTTACTCAACTTTTTGTGCCTTGTTTGGTTTGTGTTGGGAGCAATCTGAGCGGTTAGTGGCATCATTTTAAGAAAGAAAAAAAATCCTACCTACATTTTTGTATATATAACTGAGCTGCTTTATCCAAGACAGCCATGAGAAAAATAATGCAAATGGGTGCAGCACATTTTTCTTTGAATAGGCAGTGAGAATAATAACCACTTCGCCAACTGTTTAAGATTCTTATTTTGGGAATTTGTCTTTTCCACTCTGACAGGTAAAAAAGGGACTGATGATGGAAATTAAGATGATATATTAAGTCATTTGAGTAAAATTAGACGAAATGAACACTGGAAGCCCAACTTGTCTGTAATAATTATCGAATGTGTCCAAACTAATGTCACAAATGTTTTTAAAACACATTAGGTCATGCTTTCCATCGCTGAAGACACATGATCAGTTTGATGCCACCTACAAACTCTCTGTGCCCTGTGTGCCAAGAGAGGAGTGCTGTAGAATCAAAGGCAGATGTCAACTGAAAACAAGCAACAACAACTGCGTTGATACGAAAATAATACCAGGAGTGGCCATCAAGGGATTCCATGAGTTAAAAAAGATGCGCTAAGCTCTCACAAATGAAAAAAAAAAGGGTGAAAGATACCGTTCAGTTAAATTCTTCGTGTTTAACTCAAGGGATTCATTCTTACCATGGATTCAGTTTAGGGATGTTTTCTATATGTTACAGTGAGTCAATGAGAGTTATTTCTGTTTAAACCTATGTATGAATGTCCATGTTTATTATCAAGAGTCACTGACATTGGCCATACTGTAACATGACAAGAGCATGCAGGAAACATGCATGAGATATTAGACATTATTGTATTATCTAGGGACCGTGACCGTGTGTGTGTGTGTGTGTGTGTGTGTGTGTGTGTGTGTGTGTGTGTGTGTGTGTGTGTGTGTGGCAGGAAGTCAAGGCATCCCCTTGGACTGTGAGACCCCTTAAACACACACGCAGGGAAGATGCAGCACTCTTCACACACAGGAAGTTCTGTTCTTGTCCACCATATCCTGTCCATCCTACCTTGACCCTGTGACACACACACATCAACGTACACATCATATTGAAGTTTTGATGTCATGTGGATTGAAACTTACATTTGTTATTAGTTTTAGGCCACTTGACAGTAAGAAGGAATAGGAGTTTAAGTTTCAGTAGACAACATCATTTTTTTGTGTAAAGAAGCTCGATTTGAAGCTATAAAAAATGACAGCAACCAAATCGTTTTTTATATATGTTTAAAATAACTTGCAGCGATTAAAGAACCTTCAATCTGCTTTTTTTTTTAGATGGTATGTGCGTGAGAGTGGGCATTGTAGCGGTGAGTGTTCAGGAACTGTCCCAAGATCATAAAACCAAATTTAACAATAGGAAAGCGTAATGGTTAATAAAACAAAGTAAAAGGAAAAAGGGTTAGGGTTAACTATTTTAAGTACATTATTTTAGTCTTTCCTGGAAATGTGGAGAAATGAGACAGAATGATGAAGGTAGAGCAGGAAATGAGGGACAACCAAAATGTGTTTGTCTGTTTTTGGTTTGTATCTAATCTGTTCAGGAGGAAACATAGAATATCTTGAACTGGTTTGTCATTTTTAAATAGTGTGGACACGTCTGTCAACAGTGAAGGATGAACCTGTGGTGTGTGTGATAGATGTGTGTGTTTGTCTGGTGGAGAGTTGCGCACAAGGAAGCTATACATCAGGGTTAAACGTATACACCGAAACCAGGACACTGTGGATGATGCTTTTAAAAACACACACACACACACACACACACACACACACACACACACACACACACACACACACACACACACACACACACACACACACACACACACACACACACACACACACACACACACACACACACACACACACACACACAACGAACACATGCTAACATCATCCTGCAACCATGGGAAAGAAAATGTAAAAAAAAAAAAAATACTATTAACTCAATACAGTAATTAAAGATTGAATGTGCAAATAACGCTTGTTGGACGGATATAATAACGTGCTTATATCAGAAGGCTTGATCATGCTGTTATATTTTTGAACATACGGTGAATCGAGGCTCTGGCTAGCGTTTCAGAGAATGTAAGATAATGGTGCTAATAGTTTAGCCTTCTGCTAATTGTAGCCACCAACTAGCTGTAGCCATAAGCACGAGGCTAAATTATTAGCATAATTTTGCTGATATACAAGTATATATATAACACAGTTTTCAACATTGTGCTTCTGATTCCTTTTTGGAAATTAGAGTTTGTAGGAAATTGCAGTTTGTAGGAAATTGCAGTAAGCATGTTATTGAATACACAACTTAGTGTCAACATATTTAGCCTCTGCATACTAGCTTCTTGATGTAACATATAGAGGCAAGATGGTGAACTTTGCAATGATCCACTGCAAACGTCTGAGTAGCAAATGCACACGAATGCACCTCAAACAACACTGTATACTCAGTGACTTGGATATTTCTTGTTTTCTTAATCTTTTTTTTCAATTGATCTCAATTAAATCATTGGCACATTAGGCCAATTTATGTTGAGACAAATGTGTGGTTTTCCTCCACATTTTTCTTTTTAAATCTCCAGACCTGAGTAGGCTTAAGGCCAACAGACAGATATTTGACCTCTGTGACTTTTATTGTTGTGAGCTGCTTCTTTTCACCTGTCAGCCAGAGCTTCATTACTTGTTTTATGTTAGCTATTTTTACCCAGATGTTCCTCTTCATGCAAAGCAGCTCAGCCAACCAATCGGAGACATAATCCCTCAGCAGTATCCCATCAGAAAACACTGCCAATTGTATTTGTTGGAACAAATGAGCAAATCGAGGATGACCCTCTGATGGGGAATGAACCTGACTCAAACCTTTTGAGAACACTGACACAGCCACTTGTGACTCTGAGTCATGACTCAACACGGCTTTGGCTTTTGTGTGTGTGTGTGTGTGTGTGTGTGTGTGTGTGTGTGTGTGTGTGTGTGTGTGTGTGTGTGTGTGTGTGTGTGTGTGTGTGTGTGTGTGTGCGTGTTCAAGGGTTGGGTGGTCACAAGGTGGCCTAACACCGTACTGCTAATTGGCCTTTGTCTCCATGGGGACAGAAAGTGTGAGGGTAGGGCTCGATAACAAACAAAATACTAATTTACTGACTCATGCTAAACAGGTGACTGAGGCCCCGGCTCCACGAGGACGAAAACGGGTTGAATCCGCATATTTCTCATGCGTATAGCCCTCTAAGCTCGACGACGCCGTAAGGGAAACGTAGAAACAGACCCCGCAAACGACAACGGGTCCAAAGGTGGATAGATCTGGGAACGGAGCGCTCTGGGGGGTCCAACGGGGCCGTGGAGTCGCCTATACGGTCATTCGTTTTCATAGCCCCGCCTCTCCCCCGCAGGGTTGCTATCGTGCTCCAGTCGCTACTGACCATGCTACAGTTCTTTGTGCAACATCTACAGGAGCTCCTCCTTGAATTCAGATTATTTATCTTTATCTCGATATGGACATAAACGCGAGTGAAGTCTAATCTGACAGGACGGAGACACGCAGCTCCTGCCGCTGTGATGCAGCGGGAGCAAAACACACACTTCAAGTCAGATCATCACCCTTAGCTATTTTAATTACCTCTCAAACTACCTAAACTAGTTATAAATATGTTCATTTTACTGTCGGGTCACTCATTACAGGATCAGCTGCTGCATGAGACAGACACTGACGCTGTCAGAAGAGAGGAAAAAGAGACAGGCTCCGTGTGTATTTGATGATTATATATCATTATATCGTCGTTATTCATTTGTTTTAAAGCTCAATAAATAACAATGAAGATCTTTGACCGGCACTTTTATAATTTTGTCCGGAAGATTTAAACTTTAACACACGCTGACCGGCGAAAAACTCTGCCCGGATCCCTCGGCCCCCACCGCGGAGAATACACAGAAGTGCAGCCATGACAACCATTCTTCTTCGCTGCTTTTGTGGAGGAAGTTGCTGCTTTTGTGGAGGAAGTTACAGCGCCACGTACAGGTTCGGCATATGTACTGCAGCTTTTCCAGCGTTTGGATGTAAACGGAGCCATCTCGTGGAGCTTGACACAATCCGGTGTATATTGCGTGGGGACGGAAGGTTTTTTGCGGTTGCATTTGCGTTACTCCGATGCGTTTTGCCGTATTTGTCCTCGTGGAGCCGGGGCCTGAATTTATATTTCAAACAATGACAACAAGACTGTTCCTATTGAGTGTTATTACATTGAATTACTTTGAATTTTGTTCAATCATGAGATATGTTGTTACATGCTACTAAGTATGATTCTAGTGAGAAGTGGTTCCTCTTATGGCGCGTTTCCACTACAGCGCGCAGCCCGGTTTAAGAGGGCTGTGACGTCAGCGGCCCGTTTGTGGTTGCGTTTCCACTTGGCCTAGTACCGGCCGGCTGGTCCTAATTCTCAGTTTTTCTGGCCTCATAAAATCGTGGGGCCAGGGCCAAAGACAACCGGGCTGTGTTTGTGACGTCAACACTCTCGGCTGCTGATTGGTCGGAGAGAATCGTCACAATCTGCGCGCGAGATAATCCATTTTTACAAACAGCATTTTTGTTAACGGAGGAGCTACAACAATGGCAAAGAAAAGCACACCATGGTCGGTCGAGGAAGTGACGACGTCCATTATATTGCAGATGATAAGGTCCAGCGGGTGCTCGACGGGACAACTCGCAATATCAAAGTCTTTCAGGAGGTCTCTACACAGACACTGGACTCTCCAACGGCGTTACTGGAGTCTGCATGGTACGTTTTTGCTAACGCTGTGTTATTTGCTTGAAAGCTTTGTGTCCCTGCTTTGTGTCCCTGCTTTGTGTCCCTATCTGTTTTAAAGCTCACTTCTAACAAATAAGTCTATTTTATCCTTACATTTATGTTCGACAACCCCGATGGAGCCCCGAAGGCTAGCTAGGCAGATAGCATTAGCGAGA